TGAGGTAGGGGTTTAGGGTGACCAGAGGGCAGGAAAGGAGTGTGTTCAAGGGGGGAGGGTATGGCTCAGTGGTAGATGGTGTGCTTAGCATGCTCCAGGTCCTGGGTTCAATCCCCAGTGCCCACCCTCCCCCCAAAAAACAAAGTGGAACCTCCCTGTGAAGCCCTTCCTTAAACAAGCCAGTTGGACTTGCAACAGATGTGCTTTCTTCCGTACTTACTGCCCGGATTCGTTTGGTTAGAGATTCCTCATAATTAAGAGGAAACGTCCTTGGAAGACTAAAGATTAGGAAACCTGGGGAGATACCCAACTTTCAGGCTCCAGAGATTGATTTTAGGAAAACAAACAGACTGGTAGTTAAGGAGCTGAGCGTTTGTTTAAAGGTATGGAGTGGTGTCATTAAAGTAATTTTCAATTTTTAATATGCCTCACAATGGACTAGGGAGCATGAAACTTCGATTCTGGGGTCTGGGGTTAGGCCCAGGGACTTGCAGCCCAGCGATGTGATGCAGGTGAGCCTATTTTGAGAAACTGGCTCTCAGTCCCGCTAAGGCTGCTTTACTATTTGACGCATAGGATGTAATTTGAGAGCAAAAGGAAGAGAAGAGATTTTATGTTGCCCAGAATCCAAACCACCTGGTATGAAAAATGTTCCTAGCTTGGAAACAAAGAGGCTGGGACTGTATAAGTAACAGACTTAGGATTCTTTAGGCAACATTCAAAGAAGCTTCTAGCTCTTGTAACTTCCTTATCTTCTTCTTCCAACTAATTCAAAAAATGTGTGTGTGTGTGTGTGTGTGTGTGTGTGTGTGACGAATGAACTGTGATTACTTGCCAAACTAGGAGAACCTATTTGCAACACAGATACCAGGAAGTGGGCAGGTTTTGTTAATATACAGACTTCTTACATGTGGAAAAAGGGGAGAGAAGAAGAAAGAGAAGAAAGACACAAAAGAAACCCAGGTAATAATACAAATGGCTGATAAAATAGTAAAATATTCTCAATGTCACTCATAACTAAATGAAGTTACATGAAATATTATTTTTCACACAAGGGTAAAAAGTTTTAAGTGTGATGATATCCAGTGGTGAAGGCGTAAGAAAACACACTCATCTCTGTTAGTAGAGGTTTAAATTATAGAACAATTTGACAATAGCTACTAAAATTTAAAATGTTCGTATATTTTCCTCGTAAGTCTATTCCGAGGAATTCAGCCAGTGGAAACACTCAAAAGGGCACAGATTTTATGATACATTTCTTTGTTTCAGGATTGTTTGTAGCAGTAGAAATGATAAGCAGACCAAATACCCATCAATACAGCAGTGACTCAGTAAATTATGGTATACTGAAACAGTGAGATAACACGTACTGTTAAAAAGGTAAATCCACATGTACTAACAAGGGACTGCGTCCAAGATCTATCACTAGGTGAAAAAGCTATGTGCAGTATGATTCCATCAGTGACAGAAAGCAAGACAAGGGGTGTGGAGGGAGGGGGTAGGAAGGAAGCCGCAGCAGACACGGTAAATATGAGGATGGATGGATGGATGGATGGGGTTATATGCATTGAAGGGCACCTGCAGAAATTATAAACCAAATAATTGACAGTCGGGCTTTCTCCCTCCCCCTTTGAGGGAAGAGGCAACATTGTGGGAGGATTTTGCTTCTGAAATCAGAGAAATCTGTAGTATTTACATTTTTATGATAAGTATTTATTACTTTTCCAAAAAGGAAAAAAGGGCAGAGGTGTTGGCTTGTGGAAACAGCATAGTCCACCTCCCTTGGGACCTGTTCCTCCCATCGGAAGGGTCCTCTTTATGTCTGTGGATCTGCTTCTAACCCTCCACAGCCTGATCAGTGACAGAGTAGAACTGGTTCCCCACGGTCACACCCCCAGACTGTCTTCTCACCTCTTTGTGGGTCATGTCCCCACGGCAGCTTCCTGACACAGGGCTGTTTCTCCAAACGCAGCTCCAGACAGAAGTGCCATACAATTTTAGCTATTTGTCCTTCTGCTCCAGCAGCGACTTCCAGCTACCATTAAAATTCCATTCCAGTTTTCGCTTTGACAGCACCGGAGACCCATTTGTGGCAGGGTGATGAGTTTTTACTTTCTTTTTTCTAATATCAGCTCTTTTCCTAGAGAATGTATTGTCTGTTAACAATGCAGGGCAAAGTGAATATTAATAATCCTGCACATTTATAGAGTTCTTTCTGGCTCTCAGATGCTGCCACACTCATCACCTCTTCTGATTTGATCCTCTCACCAGCCCTGGGGGGTGGCGGGGGAGGGGGCCATGGAGAGAGGCACCCTCAGAAATATTTAGAGACGAGAAAATGGAGGCCTAAATGATTTGCTTAAATTCACACAGGTAATACATAACAGAGCTGTATCAACTCAGTCAGCGTTCTTTGGCTGCAAGCAGCAGAGACCAATTTAGCTGAAATGGGCAAGAAGTAGCTCACTAGATCAAAGGAATCCACCTAAGAAAGGGTGGAAAGCACAGTGGCTCAGGCGTCCCAGGGAGAAAGACTAAACCATCCTTTTAGGGCCCTTCCTGCCACCACCCCGCCTGAGTCCTGGGCTTGAGGCTCAGTTTTCAGGCTCCTGGGAGAGATCATCTGATTGGCCTGTTTGAGCCGTGGGAGGTCTGGGCGCGGTGGCTGTGCCCCAGAACGTGGGAAGAGGTGATTTCACACGAGGAGATGGGGCCTCCTTTGAGAAGAAGGGGGGTGAGTTTAACGGACAAAATTAATAGCGTCCACCCCCCGCGGCCAGCAGCTCTCCCGATGCCAGGAGGGCCTGGCGCTGGCTCACTGGTTTCCTCTCCCCCGCTCCATCCCTCTCTGCTGGCCACGTGTTCTCTGACGTCTGCACGTCCTCATTTTTCTCTCTCTGCCGACAGACCTCCTGGGCTTACTCATTTATTCCTCAACAGCAGACTCAGCCTCCTGGTGCTTGTCCCCAAAACAGCGCAGCATCTCGGTGCCTCAATTCCAATTTTCCAGGAGAGAGGCCCGGATGGCTCCTGTTTCCATGGTCTGATTAGCTGAGTGTGTGTGGTGAAGGGGTTCCTGGAGTTGGGGGGCAGGCTTACATGATCGATGGGGACGCGTCTTCCAGCACCAAGGACAGGAACTCAGTGCAGCCTCACGGAAACTCAGAATGGAATATTCATATGTATGTTCAGCACTGCTGCCCAGCCCTGCAGCTTCCTATGGCCCCAAATGACCACCCAGGCCCAAGTCCGTCCTGTGCCTTGCTAGCTTGTTTCCCACAACTAACAGGGTCAGTCTCTGTGGTTTTCAACTCCCAATTCTTGGAAAGGCTTCCGTGTTCATCTTTTTAAGCTGGTCAAACAAGTCACAGGGAGCTGGCCAGCCCCTGGGGAGGCCATGCTGTGGCTGGGCCTCAGCCTCCGACCCGGCTGACCTCAGCAGGCAGGCCGGTGTGCCCAGGGCCTGGATGACTGGCGTCTTCAGTGCCGGATCGCAGGGGAATGGAGTCCTGGAGAAGTCGAGCCCCTTCTTAACCCTGTGTTTCCTATTGTGGGGCAGGTCAAGGCCCTCCTGGAAGAAATACTGGAGCGGGTGACAGACGAGTTTAACATCCCAGAGCTGATGGCCAGAGTGGAGGAGCGCACCCCCTACGTGGTGGTTACCCTGCAGGAGTGTGAGCGGATGAACGTCCTCACCAGGGAGATGCAGCGCTCACTGAGGGAGCTGGACCTCGGATTAAAGGTGGGCGGGGGCGGGGCAGGGGGAGGGAGGGCACGGCCAGCCGACAGCCTCGTGGGAGGGCAGTGGTGCTCCTGCGGCAGTCTCACTGCCCGGGAAGGTGTCAGTCCCAGGCAGCGGAGTCCAGCTGGGCTGCAGGGAGTGTCAGGCACAGCCCAGAAGCCTGCGTCTGCACAGGCCCAGCGAGCTCCGGCTGGCAGCCGCCCGGGAGCCTGCGCACTGAGCGCCAGCAGAAGGCAAGTCTGATGCCTGTGTCTTCCACTGCCGTGCGTGCAGTCGCTTTCACGGGAGGCAGAAGTGGGTGCTGCTGTGGAGAGGTCCTAGGCCTTTATGGGACCACCTCCCAGCTCTAGCATGCCCCCGCTGTGCAGCCTTGGGTGACTCAAGTCTCTCTGAGTCTCATTTTTGTCACCTGTAAAACAGGGAGACTGCTCCTCTTCACAGGGCTTTGGGAAAGATTAAAGAAAGCGATTTGCACAGAACGTTTAGGACAATGCCTGGCACGTGGCAAGTACCCCAGCACCATCATTTCTGCCCATCAGAGGAAAGAATTCTAGTCTTTTACAATCTCTCGTTTATCTGAAAGACCCAGGACACTGCACAAGCTCTGACGTTTCTCGTGAGCAGTGGAAGTGTCTATTATTTTTACCGCCAATTATGTAAACACATCCACTTGATTCACCGTGAGATAATTCCTTCAAGTTTCCAGCACAGAGTCTAACAGACAAGTGCAGTCAAATAACCGTTCACCTGGATGACAGGTAAGTGGGAGGTCCTGCGGCTGTTGGAAGCTGAGGATGGTAACTGTTGACAGTTGACACCAGCGTTAAAAGAGCTGCAGGCCCAGGCAGAGGAAAACTGAGAACCCAGTTCTGTGGTGGACAGATGCCCGGGGCTGTGGCCCTGCCGCCCTCGTGTCTGGCCTTGGAGCTCTGTGGCCGCTGTCACGCGGGCAGAGGAGAGACAGCTGTGAGCGTGTTACCTGGCAGTCGCAAATGAGGAGGAAGGAGAGACAGGAAGGGATGCTGAAGACTCACGGTGTTTGGTAATGTTTCTGAATTACGCACCAGCTTGGAATCCAATGAAGCACAGAGTTTGGTAGAACAATCTCAGATGCAAGCAAGGCCCTGGCCTGTCAGTTTCCGCAGCTCCGTTCCCGAGGTTCGAGGTGCGGATTAGTGATGGCCTGGACTTGCTCTGCTGCCGCCTTAGCTCACTCAATCCATGCTGTTCGGTGCAGTCTCTACCCATTCAACTTCTGATTCATTTACTCACTTTTCTTCCAAGAGCCTTCACTGCGGTTGGGTGTCCACGCACCCAGAACGGGCCTGGGCGAAGACGAAGGGGGCGGGCAGGGACTTGCTCTTGGCTTGCAGTCTCGCTCAGGCAGTGTTGGCTGACGAGGAAGCTGGGCAAGTCTCGGCGCTGGGTGCCGAAGGATGCCATGGAGACTGTCCATCCAGACCGACAGCCTGGCAGGAAGACCAGCACACAGACAGAGCGTAACACAAGGCAGGGTTGATTACGTGCCACATAGACAGAGCTGGGAGAAGACAGGCGAAACAAGTATGTGGGGTCAGGGACGGCCCCAGAGAAGTGGCATCGAGGGGCCTTTGGAGGAAGGGTAGGGTGATGACAGCTGAGTGATAAGAAGAATGTTGTAGAAGTTCCAAGCAGAGGAACCCTAAGCCTGTTCTGAGGGTTTTCACTTGCCTTGGCTGGAGCAGACAACTTAAGAGAGTAAGACTGATGTGGTGAACTTCAAAAGGTGACTTGTGCTGACAACATTGACCGAGAAGCAGTCAGGACAACCGTACGTTGCCTTTTCCTCCTAGCCCTGCCGTGAGCTAGGGGACAGACAGAGCGATCTCCACTTAAAAACGCTGTCCTGAAAACCTAGTCTCATTAGGACAGGTCCCCAAACTGGCCTGGTCATCAGTTTCCCCGGGGGCTTTCTCCTGTCTCCTTCCTCCAGCCCCACCCATCTCTGGCACTGGGTCTGGAAACCTGTATTTTTAACCAGCAGCCAGGTAGTTCCTGCGGTGAGACAAGTTTGTGAAGCAGCCTTAAGGCAGGCGGGTAGAAGGAAAGACGCACAGGGCTATCCCGGGAACAGCGAAGGTGCGGGGGTGGCGGCAGAGGTCAGAGGAGGGGGCGCTTCTAAGTCTGGGGAAGAGGTTAAGCAGGTTAAACTGGGCCGGCAGGAGAGGCAGGAGAGGAGAGTTGGAGACGAAATGGCTGCAGGGAGTGACTTGAACGGGAGGGGCTCACAGGGTGGCCTGGCATGTGCGGGAGACTTGAGGGCCTCCCTGGACCGCGTCTGACACCCGCAGTGGTGAGGCGCTCCCTTCCCAGCTCCCAGCGGAACGCAGCAGGGAGGGCATCCTGGGAGGAGAGGAAATGCTGAGCGAGGCTTCCCTTCTGATTCTTTCTTTCTCTTCAACAGTCACTTGAAGGTTCTAGGACTCTTTTAGGTGGCGCACAAGGGTCCCAGGGCATCTCACACTACCCAGCACATCAAACAGGCAAACCCAAAGGCTCTGCCCACACTGACTGGGTGCCATATTAGACAACGTCTAACTTTTTTTAAGTCATAAAGTCAATACTCTTAACATTTTTGATAAAGAATTTTTTTCATAACTGGCTGGATGAGAAACCGTATTGCTACCCAACGTCAAGCCCCTGAGGACTGAGGGAGCTCACAGCTCAGAGAAATGGGAGGGGAAGGCCAGGTGGCCACCTGGGAGAGGTCTGCTGGCCACAGCATGCTCCCACAGAGAGGAGTTCAGTAGAGGGTGAGGCATCTAGCTCTCAGCCTTACACAGTGAAGAACCAGGTCCTGCGAGTATCCCACAGCTGACCGGTCAGAGGTGCTGACTCCCACTAACCAAATGCACAAAAGCCTGATGTACCAAACTCTCAAATGCCAGTTTATTCCTTTATAATCCTTTACAGCTAGAAGTAACTTTCAAAGGGCCATATACTGATGGCAGCTTGCCCAGAAAATTCTCTGCTGATGTAAAGAAACTACATGAGAAGCTAAATTCTTATACATTGTCCAGCGTGGTAGCCACCAATGACAGGTTAGCACTTGAAATGTGACTAGTCCAAACAAAGATGTGCTGTTAGTGTAAAGTAAACACAGATTTCAAAGATACAAGACAAAAAAGGGAACATATCCTACTAATAATTTTATATTGATTACATATTGAAGTGATATTTAACATTTTAAATCCATTAAGTTAAATAATATATTATGAAAATTAAATTCATCTTTTTTTTCACTTTTTTTAATGTGGCTACCAGAAAATTTTAAATTATATGCATGGCTCCCACTTGCAAGTTGCGTTATATTTGATTTGGGCAGTGCTCTCTTAGATGGAGCCCTGGCTAGCCCAGAATCTGGGGATGGGAACTTTTTTTTTAAAATAGAAGTGTAGTTGATTTACAATGTTGTGTTAGTTTGTGGTGTATAGCAAAGTGATTCAGTTACACATCTATTCTTTTTCAGATTCCTCTTCCATTATAGGTTATTAAAAGATATTGAATATAGTCCCTGTGCTGTACAGTAGGACCTTGTTTATCTATTTTATGTAAAATATCCTGTATCTGCTAATCCCAAACTCCTCATTTACCCCTCCCCCACCGCTTTTCCCCTTTAGTAACCATAAGCTTGTTTTCTATGTCTCTGAGTCTGTTTCTGTTTCGTAAACAAGTTCATTTGTCTCATGTTTCAGATTCCACATGTGAGTGATACCCCAGGACACTCGTCCTTCTCTGACAGACTAACTTCACTTAGCGTGGCTTTGGCGTCTTGTGTTTCTGAGCCGCCCGCAGGGCGGCTGCACAGGCTGGAGGAGGGCCGGGGAGCGCAGGCCTTAGGGCAGGGTGGAATTGTAGGGGGCCCACCGGTGGCTTGAGGCCCACAGTGGGCCTAAAGTACCTGCTCAGTAGGGAGGTGCAGACTCTGGTATCACTGGAGAGGGGAGAGCATGGAAGCCCCAGCCTCTACGAGTCACACCTTGCAAATCAAGCACAAGACAGGGACAGTTACCATGTCACCCACCCTGCAGTCATCTCCTGTCCTTCCACAGACCCAAAGATCCCTGAGGCCAGTTGTTTCCAGGGACTTGCTGCCCCCTCACTCTTTGCCCCCTCTGTCTTCAGGGAGAGCTGACCATGACCAGCGACATGGAGACGCTACAGAGCGCCCTGTACCTAGACACAGTGCCAGAGCCCTGGGCCAGGCTGGCCTACCCTTCCACGGCAGGCCTGGCAGCCTGGTTTTTGGATCTGCTCAACCGAGTCAAGGAGCTGGAGGCCTGGACAGGCGACTTTGCGATGCCCTCCACCGTGTGGTTGACGGGCTTCTTCAACCCCCAGTCCTTCCTGACCGCCATCATGCAGTCCACGGCCCGCAAGAACGAGTGGCCCCTGGACCAGGTGGCCCTGCAGTGTGACGTGACAAAGAGGAACAGAGAGGAGCTCAGGAGCCCCCCTCGGGAAGGGGCCTATGTCCACGGCCTCTTCATGGAAGGCGCACGCTGGGACGCGCAGGTGAGTCCTGGGATGAGCCGCAGGGCGCCCTAGTGCGCTGACTGCGTCTGCGTTTCCGCCCCCCTCCCCCCATGAAGGGTGATTGCTAACAGGGATGTCCTGGAGTCTTCTGACCTCGAGACCCTTCCTCAGGGCTGTCAGATCCTCTCTGCAGCGCTAGGTGGTGCAGAGAGCAGAGTTAAGTGAATAGTTAGAAGCAGCAGCTCTGGAGCCAGACTGGCTGGATCTGAAGCCCAGCACTGCCATTTACTAGCCCTGTGAAAACCTCAGTTTGCT